ACAATATTTTCCCTATTACTTGGGTAGCAGTTGAGCAGCTGGCTACACGATATATGACATTTGATATCATCATTGCAAATTGACATACACACACTACAATAATGAGTTGCTGTTTTTTGACAGCGCGGTATCTAGTCGAGTGAAGCAAGACCAATCATTTATCTATGATCAAAACATTAGAAATTACAGAGATAATTTGATTTGAAATGTCGCATGACGTCACGTTTTCTTAAAATTTCTACCGCAGTAGTGGCATCACGAGCCCCCACTCTCAAAAGACGCGCTTTATCTTTGTCGTTTTTTGTTGAATGACAAAAGAAAAATTAAGTGTCCATTATTATTTTTATAAAATCTAGGTAGGTTCGATTGCTGTACACCGTATTTTTTTTATTTGTTCTGTGGCTGTTTCCGTGTTACACAGAAATTTCGCCCCGTAGTTACCCCGTCATCATTCCTATGAACGTTAAAGCTGTCACTCTCTTCGTACTTACAACAAAATGAGAATTTGAGACAGCATTAGCGTTGCCAGTTTTTTTTGCGAAGTCGGGATTTAGGAACTTTTTGAGTGAAAAAAGCGGGCTTCTTTTGTCGAAAGCGGGACATATCTGAATAATATACGTTTACGTGACAATATAGGTACCTAGTAAAAATATCCATAGAAAATGTATTTTAATAAAAATATGATATTTTAAATCAGATTTACCCTAACATTAAATAGTTGAGTATTTGTTTGAGAGTTCTTCACAGTGTTGCCAACTTGGATTTTGAAAAAGTCGTAGGCCCGATGAGAACATTACGTAGAATTGGTAAATTTTGCATATGAAAAGTACGTCGAGTAGATCTACGTACTTTTTTCTGAGTGAAATAAAGAAGCTAGGTGAAACTGAATAAAACGAGTATTTTGTTATACAATTTCTTTAAAAACGGGACATAGAACAAAGAGTTCTTGGAGAAGTCGCTGCATTGGAAGCATTTACCATGCTGTGGTAGACATTTACCATCAGACACACTCACTGGTGGGTGTCGATTCTGGCTTGATTCTCTAAATTTAAAACTAAATTTAACATCAGTCTCTCCTTTTCATTCTGTATAGAGAATGACAAGGATACACTGTTGTTAAATAGGCTATTTGACACTTTTTGGAATTATGTTTTAAATTGTTAATAATTGTTCTATCAGACCGAAAAAAAAATGTATTTTTTTTTTACCTAGAAGACATACAAAAACGCTATTTATCTATGACTTATCTATGCTATGACGTCAAAAATTTGTAAACAAACACTCGCAAGCACGTAGGAAATAAATTTTCTGAGTTAATATTATAAAACCATGATTTCTAATAGATCACATGAAAAATATAGTAGTTATCATCATACACTTGGTAAAAGACTCTAGAAAAGTTGTGGTTTAAATTGCCAAGAGAAATAAACATACTTACACATGGACACATGTTTAAATTTTGCTAAATCCTGTAACTTCATCGACTGAAAGTCATTTTGTAAGTACTCATTGAATAATATTTAAAATTTAAAAATACAATTTTTAAGGTTATGAGTGTACCTACTAAGTCAAAGAGTTTTGTCGTTTCTGCTTTCACAAATCCTGCGTCCAGCATTAATTTAGTCAACAAAACCAATAACGGGAACGTATTCTACAAGAGTTTTTAGATACATCTTTATAAACAATAAACATTTGTATAGTTTTTAAGTAAAGTAACAGAAAATATTCTTCTTTATTCTAGTGAATTAAGTTATTTTACAAATTTGAAAAAAATGGAGAAAGTACGTAGATTTTGGGACTGAAGTTAGTAGGTTTGCAGAAAAGGCCTAAAATACGTAGATCTACGTAAAAAGACGTAGAGTTGACAACAATGGTTCTTCATTACGCGCCGGGCAGGTGGTCAGTCCACACTTGTCTGTTCTACCCGCCCGCGCTTTCTCAGTACGCTGCCCGCACGGTCGAGTTATTCCCGAAAAGTGGGATTGAGCTGAGCATGTCCCGCGCGGGACATTTAATTTTGATTTTAAATAACGGGTCGTCCCGCCAAAATCGGGACGTCTGGCAACGCTGGACAGCATTTAACTTAACATTCAGTTGATGTCTCTGAGTGTGGCTGTTATACTCTTCGGTGAGTTATTAGTAGGTAGTTTAGATATATTAAGTAGGTAGCACGTTTTAAGTTGCACATAATTAGTGAATGAAATATATTTTGAATGTTATTGGATATAGCTGCTGAAGGCCTAAAGAGCTGACTGAGCTAAATCCAGATCCAATTAATGAATGCTTACGGTTTATACAAATCGTCATAGCACAAGTATCAACTCGGAAAGGGGTTGATACCGACTCGCCTTTTGGATTACCGTCAAAGCGGAAAAGCAGCTCCAGTGCGTTCGTATCGGCTACGACTAGGAGACGCGGGGCGCTTACGGCTTGCTGACTGCTAGCATAGAATAATATATATACACTGGAAACTGCTGGTTGACGGCTAGTCGGCATCAGTTTGATCAAGGGGCTTAACATGTTTGCTATCGCTTACGATTTCATTTTGTTATTTCTGAACGCCTAAGGATTTCAAATGCCCGTTAGACGATTAGCCCCTAGTCATAGCCGGCACTTAAAACGGAGTGGATACTTTCTCTATGGACAGTCCCAGCGAACCACAGTACGTGCCCCGCGAAACTCCGCGAGGCGCGTAACCGGAAGGCCTCCACTGTGGCCCGATCAGGCCGCACACCCAACCAACCGCCACCGAAACCAACTGAGGTGAGTGAGCACGCGCCGGCCACACTCATGGCGCCGGCAAACGCACCGCCCGCCCAGAAGACACAGAAGCCCCGCCGCCGACGCAACAAACGAAGCCGTCCCACCTCCGAACTGAGAGAAGAGGCGCCACCTGCTACCAACCCACTCGACGCAGCCACTACCCAACCCGACGCTGCCACTACTACGGTAACAACACCAGCAGAGGCCCCACACATCGATTTCTCAAAAATCGACATCCAGGCGTTCAGCGCGGACCTAGCCAGCCGGATACTGGATGTATTCAAAAATTTCGGGTAACCGAAATTTTTATCTACCCACCACTTAGAGGCGCTCCCCCCTCTCGCCTAAGTCCATCGCTCGCTCGCTGGTCGCTCACTGGGCCTCCCCAATGGGTCCCACCCGGTGGGCTGGACCGCGCCGAGGGCGATGGTGAAGTCGCAGGGAGGGAGGATGACCCTAACGACCGTCCCGTTTGTAAACGGGATGCGCACCCGCCGCATCTATAATGGCAAGACGCCAGATGACTCCCCGCACGCCGCGGCGCCTTCGGCGCCGGCGACGCGCGAGACGAAGAACGAGCTCTATGGACAGTACGTTCGGCAACGCAGGCAACGAAGAGACGTAAGCTATTCAGAGTCAGATTCAGATTCTGAAAACAAGCGCGAGAAATAAACAGTGTAGTCTAAGCAGGTTGCCTGCTTTTTCTCGCGCTTTGTTTTCTGAGTCTGAATCTGAATCTGAATCAGGAGTGCAATCTGGCCGTACCCTTCGCTACACTGTTAATTTCTCGCGCTTGTTTTCGAAATCTGAATCTGAATCTGAGTGCACTCTGGCCGCACCCATAGGTCGTATACAGAAAGAAAGCCGAAAGCCGATCGGCGCTTATCGGCGCCGATCCTTCCTACATAAAGGAAGCCGATTAAAGCAGATCAAGCAAAATGTCGGACTCATCGGACGATGATTTGGTTTTGTTAGAAAATGTTTATTTAAAAATGCGAAAAACAGCTATAACATCCTATAAATAGAGAAAAGAAACGTTTCGGAGAATACCATCATTTATTTGTAAAAAAAATTAAATTTGATGAACAAAGATTTTATACATATACAAGAATGATTCAAGAAACATTTTATTACATTTTGGATTTAGTGAAAAACCGTTTGATGAAAAATTGGGGCAATTGGAATAAACAACCAATCCTTCCAGAAGAAAGACTTGTTGTCACCATTCGGTAAGTACGAAACAAATAATTTTAGCGCTTAGTTAATAAAAGATAGTTATTAGATTTATAAAAAGATTATAACTTAGATTGATTTAATCTAAGGATAATAATTCAAATACAAATTATTTATTCTTCGGACCAGCACGTGTCGGCGCTTCTCGGCGATTCTCGGCGCTTATCGGCGCCGGTCCATAGAAAAAGGATCAGCGTCAATAGGCGCCGATCGGCTTTCTTTCTGTATACGGCCTTAAGCTAGGGTACGGTACGGAGTTGAACACGCACGTTGGGGTACTTATCCCGAGGCGAGAGGATTACGTTACGAATCCGATTAGTGTGCGTTGCAGTAGTTGCATACAAAGAATACTAAAGGGCTCGTGTTGATACGATGACGATCCCGATCCCTTTTAGAGTCTGTTGTGATGTCTGCTACGACCATAATACTACGTTCCTCTACTCATGCATGTGCGTACCTCTGCAGGTACGAGAATCTGCTACGTTTTCACATTGATTTAGTGAGAACCTATTTTAATGAACTGGTGCCTAACTAGATATAGAGACAAATTCGTACCTTTGATAGCTTTAATATAAATTTAGAGGTCCGATTCACTGTAATTATCGTTTTTTGGGTTATAAGATAATATTATAGAACATGATATAGTTCACTAACCATTAAACCAACAGTTTTAATCAAACTGTAAATCAACAAATAGGTATTTTTCAGGTCTCATCTTATTATTTCTTTCAGGAAGTCTTTTAAGCATCCAAACATTGATGGTGTCATCTACAAAATTAATTACTCATTTTACCCAGTAGATATACAAATGAAAAAAAAATATTAATAGAAACAGTTTTATATTAAAACAATATTTTGTAGACTAGTACAAAAATAGCCAAAGCTACAGCACTGAGCAATTATTTGTGACTTACAATTAGAATGTATAAAAAATATTCTTAGAAAACAAACATCATAATGATATATCATTGATATACTCTGTACATAATATGCATAGTGACAACATTACATAGGCATTTTGCACTAAGTGCTATATAGATAACTATTGTTACCATTTTGTTATAACTAGATGTGATGAGTAAATTGCTTGGGTCCTATATTATTATCATTGGTGTTCTTGTAACGGATTTCTTTAATAGTTAATTGTTTTCCTTGGTGTATTCTTTGAAGATGGCTTCTCATGTCATATGATCTTGAGAATGAGCGAAGACATACTGGACATTGTGTTTTTCCTGCATGCGAGTCTTTGTGCAGTGTCAATGAAGTTGGATGTTTAAATCCTTTTGGACATAACTGGCATCGGAATTTTGCTAATTCTGATTCTGAAAACAATTTAAAATGATATGTTAATAAATTGTGATGGAATATTAATGTAAGACACAATGAAATGAAACGTTAATATTGGCATTTCAAATCCATTTTCATTGATGTGTAGTGATGATCAGCTATCAATGGATTTCAAATATCACAAATAACAATAAATTCAAATCAATATGTACTGTAAGGATTACTGAGATGTACTGTATCTCAGTAATCTGAGTTTTACTACAAAATGTTAACCAGCTCTTTCTTTTTTATTTTGTATTGTTAGATCAGTGTAAAAGGCAATATTGCGAGTTCCTAGACCTAAGAAGCAAATAAAATGCAGATATCCCAATGTAATCCAACATACCAAGAACAGCATCAAAGCTGAGGAAACTTATAACTTCATTAAATGAGTAGCTTGGGTTAAATAAAATGAAGCTGAATACAAGAAGTATAGGTAGAGGCAAACTTCTTGAGCAAAACCACTGACAAACAAACCTGCACATTAAAAGTTTTTGTATGTAAAATTTCTACTGTGCACTCTTCCTTGTGTACGGTTGTTGCTCAAGAAGTTTGCTGGGGTGCGGGCAACTATGTACTAAAAATAGTTTTTAAACAAGAGCTAGTATGCAAAGCTTATAAACGGATTACTACAAGAAAATATAAGTTCATTCCATTTAGAATCAGATTTGAACACACATGCCCTAATATTTTGCATTATTTCTCTTATTCCTCTTTTCAATTTTCCACCTAAACTGAGAGTTTAAAATAGTGCACTTTAACAGAGATTGCACTGTAGACTTTTTGTTGTTGACCACCTGCAACAAGACATAGGTACCTGAAGTTGATTTTTCAGACAAATCTTCAGCTGTTGTGGTTTGTAAGTCAACTTGCATATCTTCATTTGCAGTGGGTTTTGTTTTGTTACTTTCAGATTCTGTTTTAGATGTTTCAGGCTGTGGTTCTAGTCTATCAATATCCAGATTGAAATTATCAGATAAAGGTTTTGGTAAAGCCGGTTGTGGAATGTAGTCATCTTTAGCATTTTGTACGGTGGCCAGATTTATTGGCTCGTCTGTTAATACAGGCACAATATCTTCAGTCAGTCTATTTGACTTTGAACTTAGATCTAGAGAGGCATTGTCATTCACTCTTATCTGGGTTTTAGATGATTCTTCCTCCATACTATCTGTGAGACCCTTAACTTCTAGAAGCTCAGCTGTGATTAGAAATGATTCCAATTGCTCCTGAAAAATGTTTACTTCTCCATGGTACATGAAGTTAATGATTGCATTTAGGTCTTCATACTTGAAGTTTCTAAATATTATCACAGGATGCTGGCAAGGGTTTTCTTTGAATATTTGCTTGAAGTAGTTGCTGCAGGCGGATAGCAACATTTTATGTGCCTTTATTTTACCACCATCACAACATAGGGTCACGTCCACTAAATCGTTCTCGAATCGAAGCACATTAAAAGCCTCTGTCACGTGTGTAACATAGTTGTTCCAACGCAATGAAAACTGCGGTGCATTATTCATTATTTACACTGCTTGAATATAAATTAAACAAACAAATAAATCTAGAATTTTATCACAAGACCAAAACGCAAAGACCCAAGTCCATTAGATACCTTTTCTCTTTGAAAGCAAGTGACATTGATAGTCTTGACATTATATATTTTAATTTTTGGTTTATTTTTCAGCAAAATGTATTTCCATACAACCTTATCTTTACTTTTTTTTCGTTTCTTTATATTAAATGCAGGTTTGTCGCATTTCATTAAAAATTCTGTGTGTTCTAGATATTTTTGTGGCGAAAAGATTGAAATATAATCTCTTAAAAATTATTGCCTTCACTTAACTGAATTGTAAACTAGATATTTAAATTATCATTTGCCTAACTATTGAAGAAGAAAAAAAATCTCCTCAAGACAGATAGCGGTGCCATTTAATTAATAAAACAAATCCTCTCGATTCGGCGATACCATGAAACCCGGCGCGTATAAACCACTCGGCCACGGAGGTCGTCAAATTATGCATATTCATTGCCGTGATCTCAAACATGGCAATCTAATAGTTACTATTTTTAAATTACAAGTATCGCAAATGAAGACGGTTATAGGATAACTATTGGCCAAAAATTGTAATGCAACCTGAACTCGTTTGCGAACTACCTTCAATTATATGGATCTTGGTGTTACATTTGACAAGAAATTGACCTTCATTCCACACGTCATGGAAAATATAATTAAAAGAGCAAGCAGGATGTTAGAATTTCTAATTCGCAACACTTCTTTATAACTCGGTGGTCCATAGTATACTTGAGTATTGTAGTGTTGTTTGGAGGACATATTTTGTTGTCCATTATTTAAGATTGGAACGTATGCAAAAGCGCATCGTTTTCTACTTGGCTTTCAGGAATGGCATAGCATCAAGGACATGTTATAATAAAAGATTGCACTACTTCAAAATGACATCATTGGAAACGGAGGAATTGGCTCTAAAAAAATCTCTCATTCCTTTATAAAATGTTAAATAATAAAGTAAATTGCCCACAATCATATCAAAGGATTTCCCGTACCCCCACAACACCATTGTGTTCTCCATTTCGTAAAACCGTACATGGCACAAACTCTCCAATACCAAGATTGTCAAAGGTCCTTAACGTTAGTAGTGATATTATTGATATCTAGGGGGATTCACTTCTTCAGCTCAAAAGAATATTGTCCCTAACATGGCATCAAACTATATCTTTATATAGAATTAAGGAGCCTTACAGTAGTCGCGTATGATGTGTAACTTTTGAAACTAAAGGAATAAGCCATTTGAACATTATGTTCTAAAATCAAATCAAATAGAGTGCGCTTTCGCGACTTCCTGTTACTCTTTTTCATTATTATTCATTATTCGAAATCACTCCCACAAATTGCAGGAAAGCGAGAGAAAAGATGTTACACATCAAAAAAAGAACAACGTCATAACTTAGGGAATAAATAAAAATAATAACATTGTAATGAACTTAATTCCTATTTTTAGCGTCTGCTTTAATGCATGCTATGTTTACCTTAATAGATTGTTACACTAAAATGCTTAATTAATCTTAAATATAGTTTTGAGTAATGTGTAAACAAAACTCTGGTAAACCATATAATAAATAAATATGTAACAAAAAGTTATGCTGTTACTGCATCTGTAAGTTACGCATCTACTGTAATAGGATTATTACGATGGTATTTATTTTATTAGCTTAATTTGAATTTAATGCAGTAAAGTAAAAAAGGCCATGGTATCATTTTGAAAATTGAAAATTACTTCTGGCAACCCTGGTGTGCCTATCTGTCACAGTGACGTTTTAGTTTAGCAGAGCAGAGCAGTATAGTCTGTGAGAGCAGTTTACAACTAATTCTTACAATCATTCCGTTCTTCACTTATCTTTTCCTTTTTTGTAAATTTGAAGTTTAAATTAAATAACAGATTCCATAAACCGGATTCAAATAAGGCCTTTGTCATTATGGTAATTATTTCCGTGTATTTGGCGGTTGTGTGATAGAACTTTGGTTTAACAATTAATTATTAAAGAGAAGCGATAATGAATAATAAATTATTCGCTGTAAATTCTTTCATTTTAAGCATGGTCGTGTGAAGGTACGGACATCAGAAGAAGAGAAGGCACGCAAAGAAAAGGAACGTCAGGAAAAGCTTAAAATTTTTAAAAATGTTATGCAGAAAATTCAATTTAAGGTCAGTATCATTTCTTTCAATATAGAAAAAACTTTTATTTTAATTCTGCATGAAGTCTTATCATTTATAGTTATTTTACATTGTACTTTGCTTGATTTCAAGTGGTTTAGTTTGCTGATAATATAATACATTTTCAGAGGAATGAAGGAGAACTGGACCAAGAGTTGTTGGAGCTGACTGGAAATGTGCTAACTTCAAATCCAGATATCTATACTTTGTGGAACATTAGAAGGGAAATAATTATTATTTATAAGTAAGATTACTATATTATTTCTATATGAATATTATATTAAGTTTTAACACTATAATAAAGTATTTTTTTATATTATCTTTTTCCAGGAAAGATGTTAAAATGAAAGAAAATATGTCAAAACTATATGATTCAGAACTACAGTTGACTGAGTATTGCTTAAAAATAAATCCAAAATCATATGGATCTTGGCATCAACGAGAATGGGTATTAACAATGCGACCTGATCCTGATTGGAAAACAGAACTTAGCTTATGTAATAAATACTTAAAGCTGGATGAAAGAAACTGTAAGCTCTAATTATAATTATATTATATCGTTGTCACTGTCTAACTGTGGCCACAATTCCAACAAGTACAAAGAAATTTGGTGACTCATTTCTTTGACGCACTATCCGTAAATGGAATGCCCTGCCCGCTCACGTGTTCCCTCCCTCTTACAACCTGGAATCTTTTAAAAGAGATGTAAAGAAGCAACATGCAGGCCGGCAGGGTGAGGATGGCTGGTGTGGCAGGTAGGACTGCTGTATCAGATATCTTCGCGTCTGGACTTCACCTTCACTTAACATCAGGTGGGGTGGAGTAATTTGTTGGACCTATCTATAAAAAAAAAATACTATTTGATTCAGAAATGCTAACACATCACACAATGCACATATCTTAGGTCTAATTTGTCTTACCAAAAGATTAATTTAAAATATTGTATTAGATCTTTTATTTGATTCTTAGCTAATAAAATTGATGAATTTTAGCTAGTTCCACTTAGTAGTGTATTTTATTGGAAATTTCTTTACCTAAATGGTAAATGAATTTCCAAAAAAGTGGCTCCTTAATTGTAAACTAAGCTTTAGATTAATAAAATTAGGTATTTTTGTGATAAACAATGCCTGGCAATGAATGTTGAGGATGTACCTATTTACATGTCAGACGCTGTAGCCTAGAAGGTCCAAAAAAAAAAAACCATTCAAGTGCGAGCTGGACTTGCGCACCAAGGTTTCCGTACAAACTCAATTTAATACCTCTATGCATTCATGAGAAAAGAGGTAATAACTTTAAAATTTTCAAAAATATTTTTTATTATATGATCTAACTAAAAATTCACTGTTTTCGCAGTTTTCCCTTTATCTGTACTATAAGACGTTACTTCTTACCAAATTTCAAGATTCTAAGTTCACGGGAAGTACCCTGTAGGTTTTGATACCCATGCGAGTTTCGAAAATTTGCGGCATAAACGGCTGTATTTTTTGATTGCTTTGTCTTAGAAGTTTGATTTTTTCACAGATCTAAGGGACAGTAGACATGAGTATTACATATGAATTTCAGTTTGATCCACACGTTCCTGAGAAAAACAATCTTGACGGACGGACGGACAACAAAGTGATCCTATAAGGGTTCCGTTTCTTCCTTTTGAGGTACGGAACCCTAAAAACTGTTACCCTACATGCAATGAGTGATGGATGACACAACATTGGCCTAATATCCAAATTTCAAAAAGTTATTTCAATACAGTTCTAACTTATGTCAATGTATATAATTTCTTACAGTTCACACTTGGGACTACCGAAGATTCGTCATCAATCAGTGTCAACCAGCCTTAAAAGAAGAATTCGATTTCACAACTGAAAAATTATTTGATAATTTTTCTAACTACTCTGCATGGCATTATCGTAGTAAAATGTTAGTGAAATTATATCCTGATGTTGAAGGTATTTACAATAGCCATTGTTCACTTAAAATTTTTATTGGTTTTTTTCAAAAAACATGATTTAATATTTCATTTTAAACTTTTATGGTCACTGTCAATGTAGTAATTTATGTTATTTACAGTATTGCTAATATCAGGGACTCTCAAAACCAAGGCACATGTTAGCAATTCTGTAAATATCATAAATTACTAACAAGATTTATTTCTGATTAAAATAAAATATTTTAGGAGGAAGACCAATAGAGGACAGCCATCACAAACATGAATTGAAAATGGTACAAAGTGCAGCATTTACGGATCCTGATGATACTAGCGCTTGGTTCTATCAAAGATGGCTATTAGGTATGTAAAACTAAAATTTTTGCATACAAATTACCATACATATTAACTATTTAAATGTAAAGAAAATCTTACTAGAAAAAATTCCACGCGGGCCAGGCAGCAGACGCGACTCGAACCCGCACCGTTTGCTATCCGGGTGAATGCATGGATCAATATACTACCGCGGCCCTGAAAGCCGTGTCGAATTTTTTCTAGCCTTAAGCTGCAAGGCAGCGCCATCTCTTCGCATTGTAGGTAACCTACAATGTCAAATAAATACCTTTACAAGTATTAAACATTTTAAAGAAGAAATAGCAATTATAGTTATAATTTTTATTTTTTAAGCATATAATTGCTTGATGTTTAAATCTATAGAAAATATTACTAGAAAAAATCCACGCCAACCAGGCAAGCAGACGGGACACGAACCCGCACCCTTCGCTATCCGGGCAAATGCACTGACCATTATGCTACCGCGGCCCTGACGGTCGTGTCGAATTCTTTCTAGCCTTTCTTAAGCTGCAAGGCAGCGCCATCTCTTCGCATCGTAGGTAACCCACAATGTAAAATGAATACCTCTACAAGTATTTAACAATTTCGCACGAATTTTTTCTAGTAATTTGTTCTTTAGAATTAAATATAGAGCAGTTGCATGCTTAAAAATTATAACTACTTATTATTGGTGATTAATTCTTCTTATAAAGCTGAAATGATTTTACACTGCTATAAACTTTATATAATTATACCTTTTCGAATTACTTATTTGTTAACTATAGATAACTTATGTATAATTACAGGTGCTGTGAAAAACAGTGTTGACTTAGTAGTTAGCTCTGTGACAACCTCAAAATCGTTTCTCACTTTCAGCCAATATGTTTCTAAGGAATTTGTGAAAAGCAAAGTACAGATTTTCATAAATAAGACCCTAGTAACTCCTGATTGGTCATCTTGCACTGGTAACCATTATGATAAATTATGGTTGTTCAAACATAATGTGTCAATCGAAGCCGGAATGGATATCAAGGTAAAAACAATTCCTAGTTTATTGCCTTCACTGGAGCTAATAATTTTAGAAGCCGGCTCTCTATCGCGTGTTTTGCTCTACACTGTAACGTCGTATCTATGTGGTTACTTCAATTAATAGAAGCTAAGAATTTTGACATCCGTCACTAAAGGACTTTCTCTATTTATTCGACAAATAGTCTTAAAAATAATTCTTTTGGACATAACAAGTCAATTTCGTAATTTGTGAACCATCTTTCATCACGCACACACACCATCCATCCATCCATCAGCCTTTCTCCGTCCACTGCTGGACATAGGCCTCCCCCATAGAACGCCACAATGCGCGGTCCTGCGCTATCCGCATCCAGCGGCTCCCAGCACATTTGATGATGTCGTCAGTCCATCTTGTTGGGAGCCGCCCCACGCTGCGTCGTCCGGTACGTGGTCGCCACTCGAGGACCTTTCTTACCCAACGGTTGTCAGATCCTCGAGCGATGTGGCCTGCCTATTGCCACTTCAGCGTGCTAACTCTTCGGTCTATGTCGTACACACCGGTCCTTCTATGGATCTCCGTATTTCGGATCTTATCACGTAGAGAAACACCGAGCATAGCCCTCTCCATAGCACGCTGCGCGACTCTGAGTTTTGTCATGAGGCCGACATTCAGAGACCACGTCTCAATCCCATAAGTCATCACTAGTAACACACACTGGTCATAGACCCTTCTTTTCATGCACTGGGGAATTTTGGCCGTGAGGATGTTCCTAAGCTTCCCGAACGCTGCCCATCCGAGTTGGATTCGTCGGTTGACCTCTTTCTCGAAGTTGGATTTGCCCAACTGGACTATTTGTCCTAGGTAGACGTAATGATCGACAACTTTGAGAATTGCATTCCCAACAGATACTGGTGCTGGAGTGGCATGGACATTGAACATGACCTTGGTTTTATCCATGTTCATCCTTAAACCAACCCGTTGGGAAACTCTGCTGAGGTCATTGAGCATTGTGCCAAGGTCCTCCAGGGATTCTGCCATGACTACGATATCGTCTGCAAATCGAAGGTGAGTGATGTATTCGCCGTTGATGTTGGACCCGCTGGAGGGACTGCAGCACCGCCCAAGTCTCGACCGAATCGAAGGCCTTCTCATAGTCCACATACGCTAGACACAGAGGCCGATTACACTTCTCGGTCTTCTGTATGATCTGACGTAGCGTATGTATGTGGTCCATGGTACTAAAGCCCTTTCGGAAACCGGCTTGTTCGGGAGGCTGGAAGTCGTCGAACCTGCGCAAAAGTCGATTTGTAATGACTCTCGAAAACAATTTATAGACTTGGCTCAATAGCGAGATAGGTCGATAGTTCTTCAAGCGAGTTTTATCGCCTTTCTTGAAGAACAACACCACCACGCTCCTGGTCCACGCCTCTGGAACAATGCCCCCGAGGATGACAGAGTCGAATAGCTTCTGAAGGGCCACGAGGACCGGCTTACCGCCCGCCTTCAGAAGCTCCGTAGTGATTCCGTCATCGCCCGGTGCTTTACTGTTTTTGAGCTGCTTGAGAGCCATTCTGATCTCGTACAGGTTGACATCCGGGATGTCCTCGGTATAACGTCGGGTTAGCTTGGATCGTGGATCTTGGACCAAGCCGACAACAGGAGTTTGGCATGTTTTGTACAACTTGGACAGTTGTACAGAACAGCTCGACCTCACTCAAGATCTCATCTTTGGAAGAACTGACAGTGCCGTTGTCGATCTTCAGTCTGGTTAACTGACTCTGCCCAACAGACAGATCTTTTGCGAACACTTTGGAGCCTTGATTCCGCTCTATCGCCTCTTTAATACGCTTGGTATTGTAGAGGCGAATATCCCGTCGCACAGACTTCGAGATCTGTCTATTTAGCTGCCTCATCTTAGACCAGGAGGCTGAAGACTGCACCGTCATTTCCCTCCTCCGTTCCATGAGCTCAAGAGTGTGGTCAGAGAGTTTTCCGGTTCTAGGAGCACGGCGGGTCCTGAAAAATTTCGACCCAACCGTGTGGACAGTTTCCACAAACTTGTTGTTCATATCGTTCGCCGTTTCGCACTCATCTAGGCATTGGAAGCGATTTTGAAGTTCGAGTCGAAAGCTCTCAGGGTTTTCGTACTCGGCAGGTGTGGGACGTAGACTTCATCAGTCGGGACCGCTCGGTTTTTACACGAATATTCAATGTGCCTCGTAACATTCGGTGATCGCTCCCGGTTTTCACCCTGTTGATCACTGAGACATCATTGAATATTTGCCGTTTATCTGACAAGATAAAGTCTATCTCGTTCCGTGTCGAACCATTAGGGCTTATCCAGGTTCGTTTCCTTTGTTGCGACTTTTTGAAGAAGGAATTCATCATGTAGAGATTTTCCTTCTCCAAAAAATCAGCCAACTTCTGCCCTCTCTGGTCTCTCTGCCCGAATCCGAATTGCCCTACTCTCAACTCATCGCTTTTCCTTTTGCCTAGTTTCGCGTTAAAGTCTCCCATAACCACAGTGAAGTGAGTTTTGAATGAGCGAATGGCTTTCGAGATATCCTCGTAGAGAGCCTCCACCTCATCGTCGGGGTGCGTCGAGGTCGGCGCGTAGACCTGGATAACCTTCAGCGAATACCGTTTGGTTATTCTAAGTATCAGGTACGCTACCCGACTCGACACACTCAATCCTCTCCAGGTTGGCTACGAGAGACTTACGAACGATAAACCCGACACCGCCCTGCGACAAGTCGTCGCCTTCCTGAGTGTGGTGATAGAGCAAGTTTCCAGACCGGAGGGTTATCGTGTCCTCCCCCTGTCTTCGGACTTCTGACAACCCTACAATGTCCCACCGAATCTTGCTTAATTCCTCTTCCAGCTCGGCAATCCTCTCGTCAGTCCTGAGCGTGCGTATGTTGTGTGTTACCAGGGCCAGTCTGTTTTATTTGGTGGCCGGATCTCGACTGGAGATTCTTAGCACCCCGTACCCCGCCGTTACCTTAGATTAAAACAAAAAGGGTAGATACGGCACTAGCCTCACAAAAGTGATCCGCACCAATTGTGGTCCACGACCCTAATCGCTTTAGTCACAACTTGACATGCAAACGACGTACATGTGAACGTTAAAAAGAAATATTGATAATATTTTGTGTTTATATGATAAAACAATGCCTAAGTGGGTTTTTAAAAAGTGCTTAAATTGCTCAAGAACTAAAAATAAAACCCACGGTATCACTTTCCATTCGTATAATAAGTACTATAAAATATATTTTTTCATAAAAATTGCTGTTTGTTTTGAATCTTATTCGGTAGTGACGTCGAGTACTGGTCGCGTGATTGGTCGGTAGTGCAGTGACGCGGATCTCGCCGTCTCGTTCGCGCTGCCGTTAAAACTTAACGTGCTGTTTCGTTCGGGTCGGTAATGCAGTGACGCGGATCTCGCCGTCCCGTTCGCGCTGCCGTGGGATCAGTTTTTGTTTGATGCAAGTATGAGCGTACCGTATCTACCCTTTTTGTTTTAATCTAAGGCCGTTACCAGGCCCGCCACCGTGAGCCGGAATAGCGGGGTCGCCGTGACTCGGGGCCGTTGTGTTTATGCGCTTGTTCATTTTGGGGGGGTTATTGCCATAATCGCCACGCTTGGCAGGCGGGTTGGCGATCGCAGTAGATGTAATGTTCCTCAGGAGAACGCTACTGCCCGTTCTCCTGGTGATCCCCTAGTTGCCTTTTACGACACCCACGGGAAGAGATGGGGAGGTGCAATATTCTATGCGGGCACCCCACGGCCTTTACACACACCTATAAATAAAAACGCCCGTGCGGTGTTTACTTTTCAAATATATATTTAAGAGGTACACTTTTGAGACGCGAGGAGCGTATCTTCCCTTTTTGGTTTAATCTATGCTTCTGTCACGTCAATGGACAAGGTGTATGATTGTGTATTAATAATACATTGAATTGTTTTCTTTATCAGGTTGAATTTGACAAAGAAAATGGGCAAAAACAAATCGTCTCATGTGTCCCAGCTGAAACATTGACTTACGTCGGCAAGGGCAACATTAATTTCCAAAAATATTATTCAGAGCCAGTGTTAAAGGAATTAAAGGATCAACTAGAATCTTGTCGGCAGCTGCTTGCTATGGAGCCTGATAATAAATGTAATGTATAAATGGAAATCTGTTCAAGAGTTCATTACACTATTGAGTTTAATATTATTTATCTTTCTACGTACATACATTCCGGCGGATAATTCACTCTTTAGTTATAGGTAAATGCGAAAGCCGTTAATGCATTACTTTGTGGCGGTTTCAATGTACAGGCAGCCATAGGTCAAATTACCCAAAACTGTAAAACTCTTAATTGAGCTTTATTCTGCTTGATATAAAATTGACAATCTTACCTTTGCTGAAATAAGAAACTGAACTAACATCAGACATTTTAGTTGGTTTTAGTACATAAAACTAGTTTTTACGGGTTAATGCAGTTTGTTTCGCAGCCTGCATCTGCTGTCTGTCTTTGTTTTCAGGTCTGCATCGTCAGAATAATAATAATATTATTCTGACGATGCAGACCTGAAAAGGCTGCGAAACGTCAATAAATAAATAAAGTTTCGTGCATTAACCCGTAAAAACTAGTTTTATTTAATGAGTGATGTGCGTGAAAACCTAAGAAACAAATATGGTTTTAGTACATTTACCCGGTTGGAGGTATAAATTGAGATTTCATAGAGTGCACAACAATAACAGCTGTGTGTAAATTACATAAAAAATCTAGTTTTCTAACATTATCCTTTGTGTGATTGCAGGGACACTTCTTACAACCACCATATTTTTAAATTGCATTGATGCAAAACTGTACCATAATGAAGTTATAGATAATTTAAAAACCTTACAAAGTATAGATAAATTGCGTACTGGTTATTATGAAGATTTAAAAACAAGATGGTGTATTGAGAATCAGTTGTACAGAGACTATGAAAGTAATGATTTGGTTTATAGAGTATCATTTGATGATAAGATAACGTGCCTTCCGCACTTACAATACTATAGTCATTGCGAAAAAGTAGATTTAACAAATCAAAATTTAACAACGAAAGTTTTACCGTCGTTGATTTTACTACAAAATTGTAAGGTGAGTAAAAGTTATAATAATAATAGTTACTTATGCAACTGTTGTATAATGAGGGGTATGAAAACAAGAATGTTGGGTGTGATAAACCATCACATAAGTGTTTTAATATCTAATTATAAGAGTTGCATACAAGACTATCTACACCCATGATAAGAATGCTCTATAAAAGGTTGTGAAACCATGGGGTTAAATTTCATAAGAAGTTTCAGCGCTGTGGTAGTGAAATGAGCATGAAGGACAATGTTCTTTTTAACACGCTTTAATTAGGTTGACTTCTATGTAACTAACTATGTAATAAAATTCTAAAAAACGCACTTCTAATTCTTGTATCATCATGAAACTTGGCAGTTATATGTAGATTAGATGACAATACAATATTATGGTACCATCGAGCTGGTCTGATGATGGGACTGGAAGGTGGCTTGGACTGCCTCCTAGTAAACATATCGAGTTTGGGCTCATTAAATTCGTCTTAACATATTCTATTATTTTTTTCTGATGACTGAAACTAAAAAGAGTAAAATAAATTCATAGTTTATAACTGAAAAAGCGTGGGGCGCTATTCATTGCAATATTTATCTAATCAATTAATATATTACGTGATTCATATATATATATGTTAAAATAAACTATAAACATGGCTTACTCTAAGGCCCTAATGAAGTATACAGAGAGTATATTTTGTTTATTTTTGGCTTTTTAGTGCAGTAAATAAAAGCGTGTTTTTAGTTTTTTTTAACTATTAATTTGAAATGCATAAAATCAGTCACTCATTGAGCAGTTAAAATGAGTACTACCGTTTTTTGTCTCACCAGATGGCGCTACTGTTGAGTGAGGTCTTGAAGTGTGCTTTTAAAATTTAAATACTGTAATTATCGAAAAAACTTAGTAACGACTTAGATAAAAACATTTCCTAAAATTATAAGTAATTCATATGTTTGTAAAATAATTGGTTGATGGATTGATGATGTTGATTGGTTTGAAAAATCACGTTTTTGAACTATACAGCGCACGGACCGCGTATACGCTCTAAATACGCGTGTGAAACCAAAGTTTACATTTTCAAATCATATTTTAATACAAAATAACCGTATCGTAAACATAATAGGACCATGCCAGTACAGCGCTCTTCAGCTTTATTCTGAAAAAAAAGGAGGACAATAATTGTTCTTAGCTCCGTTTTTAAATCACTGACATTAATTGACACGTAACTCATATTTTCCATAATTAATCTGAGTTACTACCAAATGTTCACAACATTATTTTATTTGAAATAAATCTGCGTAGTCAACCCACAAGCAATAACATTTGACATTTCGGAGACCTCACGCTACACAAGCGCCTCTATTGGCGGATTCATACGCGATAGCCCTTGCTCTTGGCGCGGAAGGGATTTACAAAGCGAGAGAGTGTTATTATGAAATTTAATAAAAAAATAATGGGATTTATTTTTTTGTTTTTTAATTTTGACATTGAATGTCGATAAGCTGTCTAAGGGATCTTTAAAAGAGGCTCTGAAGCATAGGTGTAGATAAAAACGATTAAATATTACCTGTAATGTTATCAAAATAAATTAAAATAATCTGTTTCAGTACCTATCACTAAAAAACAACAAATTGACATCATTAAGAGGCTTTCCCACTTTGGATTTGGAAGAGCTGGATTTACAGGGAAATGATTTAGATACTAAAGAAATAGATACTTTAAGAGACAATTGTAGCTATAAAATTATATTCTAGTATATAATAATACATTGGGACCGATTCTGGCGTTACATTCTCTAAACCTAAACTTAAAATTAGAGAGCTAATTTTAGTTTAGGTTTATTGAATTGGTATTCTGAAATTGCGAACTAACTAAATTAAGAACACAGTTGACAGCTGTAAACGAGCATGTAAATTGAATTCACAGATTATGTAAAAGCATTGAACCTCAAATTAACAATAATTACTTATTATTCAGTGATTTTGACTTATTTCAGGAATTCGTTGTTGTTCTTAATAATCTTTCAAATATGGAAACTTAAAATAAGTTTGTTATTTTACTGTATGACAAATTATGAATCCATATTATAGAGTGAATACTTGCCTACTCTGTGGTACTTAGGGTTTCTAGATTTGGAGTGTTTATCCTTATTTTGGGGAAAAATAAGAACTTGGAGTAATTAAATCTGCGTTCAGAACTTTAATAATCATATTTTCCTTAGAAAATGCCAAGTATTTGTTTTGGCAAAACGATGGAGAAATCTACCACTTTTAAAATTAAATTAAAATATAAGTATCAAATAGATTTTGGTACCTAATAAATCTATTAAGGATGGTCAGTGACGATGGATCGTATCGAGTCCTGAGGCGAGCTTCAGCCGTAGCATGGTCATCGAGCCGATCTGTAATTTACAAAGTGTCTCGTCCGAGCAAAAACGTTTATTGTTTTGTCTGAGGTATCACTACGATTGACCGGTGGCACCGCGCCGGCGCTGTATTCATGCAGCGGGCTGTGGCCCAGCCCAGCCAAGGCGGGACCAAAATTTTTTCCGAGCGTTCTTTCATTTGTTGCTCGGTTGTCAGTCCGTTACCGTCTGGTATAGCGTGAATGTGTCCATAATCCATGTAAAATAAATTATTTAATATAAGTTAACTAGAGGAGTTCGATGGCGCAGACGATTAACTCGTTCGGCTGCGATCGTTGAAGTTAAGAAACTTTCGAAGTGGTCGGTCATTGGATGGGTGACCAAAAATCTTCTATCTCGATTTCCTCAGTGCTTCGGAAGGCACGTTAAGCCGTTGGTCCCGGCTGCGTCTGCAGTCGTTAGCACCCGCCAATCCGCACTGGGCCTGCGTGGTGGGTCATGGCCCAATCTCCCTATTTCATCCTGTGCCCCAGCAATGGGGATATTGATAGGCTGATGATGATGATTAGTTAACTCTGCTACCGCCTACACGGTCTAATGTGAATCATCCTTGAAAATTTCTCGCATCGTAAATTCCCAATCCAGCGCATCTATCTAATACCTACTCGTAGGTACCTACCTACGTTTATAAATTTCGGTTTCGGTAAAAGGTTGTAATTATCCCCTCGGCTGTTTTGTGAAGATTTTACTCTCATTTATAGTATAATCCGAGATGCGTAAGCTATTTTTATCTTTTTTGTTTCTGTCAGTTTTTGGCGAGATTGTTCCAAATCCCAATTATTCATTTGGTGAAGATACCAAGTTTCGAATCTATAAAAACAAACTTTTCAATTACAAACAGTAGGCACTTATTTCGTGTTTGGTTATTTTAAGAAATATGATTAGCTTATAAAAAGTTGGAAGTAAAAACATTTCTAACAAATATTAAAAACTGCTTCATAGAAACAACCACTAAAAACAAAGGAACAAATAATACATTAAAGTCTAAAGTACCTACATTTAAAGTCAAAATAACATTTGGATTGGAATGCATATCACTGACACCATACCTATTATCTTGTTAATTATTATTTGACTATGTACTTCAGATATAAGTAGGATCTGTAGGTATTACTTGTAGAATTAGTAGGTACATAGATTTCTTACCTTTTTAGCTTGCTTTTATATGAAGTGGATATACGTGTACATTACCTACGAAAGACCACAATAGCGCAAGTGTAACGCTTTCGTTCTGCGATCGTGAATGTTAAGCAATTTTCACAATAGCCGAGCTTAGGATGGGTGATCAACCCAAAATGTATTTATTATATCGAGTTCCTATGTTGCTGCTCGCTGCATCTGCAGTCGTTAGCCCTCACTAAGCCGCATTAGGCCATGACACATTAATAGGCTTTTAATAAATCCGCATCGAAACATAGACATACCTACCTTTTTAAAAAAAATAAAAGATCTAGCTAATATATTATTATCTCCGTCGTCGTTCATTATTGTATAAAGTTTGTCTTTTTTTAACGAAATACACCTATGTCCAACCTTAACATCAAGTTCAAAACAGGAATCATTTACGTGCTATTTGTCCTCAATTATTCACATTTAAATTTAGAGAGGACCTCCGTAGGTCCTTCTTAAATTTAGTGTGACATTTCTAATTTTAGAGAAAATATGACATTCAGAACGCGTTTCAGAATACCATTTAATCATCTAAATCTAAGTTGAATAACTTAGCGACGTCAATTTTAAATTTAGAGATAGTGTGTCATTACAGAATACCAAATTGAATTTGACAACTCTATATCTAATTTTAGTTAGTTTTAGATATATGTTGGCACGCCAGAATTGGGCCGATTCTAGTACCTAATTGTATATTAATAAACATGTTTGTAGTACTGTTAACTATTATGCTTATTATTATTAAATCTACAAAATATTAAGTACTAGTTATATTGTAATAATTTTCGATGTGATATTCCAAGTATCGGTTTAGAACTAAATGCTTCCAAAACTAAAGTCATGACAAACAGTCATACTATACCAATGAAGGTCAATAGCAATACATTAGAATATGTTCAAAGTTATATCTACCTCGGACAACAAGTATCGTTCTCTAAGACAAGACACGAAGTTGAGGTTAAAAAACGAATTAACATGACGTGGAATAAATTCTGGAGCAATAAAGAAACCCTAAAATCAAAATCCCAATTAAACTTAAGAAAAAAATAATGGACTCATGTTTACTACCCTGTCTTACATATGGCTGCCAAACATGGATATACAATAAGAACACCAAAAAAAAAACGTACAAGTATGCCAGAGAGCGATGGAGAGGAGTATACTGAACATACAGCGAAAACATAGAAAAAGAAACACAGTAATAAGAAAAACTACAAAAATAATAGATGCTTTGGAACATTCTCTAAAACTAAAATGGAAATGGACGGGTCACATTGCACGAATGGATAAGGAAAAATGGACACACAGAGTGACAACTTGGCAGGGACCTACAAATAAAAGGCAAAGAGGTAGACCGAGAGAAAAGTGGGTTAATGAAGTAATAAGAAAGGCTGGTGAAAATTGGACTACAAAAGCAAAGGACAGACAGACGTGGAGCAAAATGGAGGAGGCCTTTACTCCTTGAGGGGTCCATAATGACATGCAATTATTAATTACTTTGACATTCAATTATCATTTAGAATTTGAATTTTATTATTATTATTATTACTTGACAATTGTATGAAATGAAAATTTTAAAATGCTTATTGTAATCTAATTTATAGTATTAATTGTTGTAGTATTTTATTATTTCATTCATGTACTTATCAATAATTCTATGATATTTATTCAGAAACAGGAGGTCTACTCTCGTTCGAAACGTACTTTTGGTAACGAAGTTTAAACGCAATTTTATTTCGTCAATTTGAGGTTATAGTAAATTTAACTGTAAAGTTCTATCAATTTTATTTTTCTTTGGGTATAAAACTTAGAGAACCGAAACCTCAGTGTATTTTCTGGCGAAGGAATATTATTATAATTAGAAATGAATAGGAAACAGTACGAAACGTGCGATGTTTCGATGGAAATTTAGTTTTTCGTTGAATTAGCAGAGGCCTGAAATAGCTAAATTCACCCTTATCTACGCAACGTAAGGGACTTATTCATTATCCATCTCGTTGGATCCAGCATGCGGGATAGCGATATATAAAAGAGATCTTGTATCTCCATCTCTTAAACGTGTATAGCACTGTCCCGTACGCTGGATCCAGCAAGATGGATAATGAATTAGGTAAGGGCCTAATTCATTATCCATCTTGCTGGATCCATACACATTTTCCTACTGAGCTAATAATCAGCTGAATTCGCGCGGGTTCTTTTATCTCAGAAGGAATATGTACATTACCTACGCTGTGGAGAAAAAGGTGAAAGCGTTTATCAGAAACGTACCATGCAAGGTACGTTTCTGATAGACGCTTTGATGCATTTCCACTGCGCCTAGTATGAAGTGACCATAGAGCTCCTTCTCAGCCTGACTGTAGGTAAGGGGTCATCCATAAATTACGTCACACGAATTTCATGATTTTTTGCCCCTCCCCCCGTCCTTGTCACAGCTCGTCACATTTTAGACACCCCCCCCTCACTCCCTAGTGTGACGTCACATATTTTGTAAATTTACATTTAGAAATTATTGAATGGAAAGAGCGATACTGTAATCAGTTTTATTTCCATTTGAATTATTATTTGATAATATTAACATCAAACCAAACACCGATTAATTATACAGAGCAACCTTAATATAACGACTTCCTTGATTTAACACATTCTTAGTAATCCTCTTCAATTTTCCATAAGATTTATTGTAAAATATACCTTTACATTGTGAACAACCTCTTTACTACACATTTTCAACTATCAAAAAAAGAGTAAATACCTCTAATTAACGAATTTTGTCAACCAAAAACAGGTTGTCCCAAAAAAATCTATACAGGGTGTCCCAAAAAATAGTGTCAAGCGGTAGTCCCGAGATAAAACACCCCTTGGAGAATCCGAAACATCCCCATGTATGTTCCGCGATTTTTTATAGTTTGCGAGTTATGAATTCTTTACTAAAATTTTGAGAATTATTGACCTAAACAACTTAAAAATTTAATAAAAAAAAATGGATAAGTCTTTTCCGAGATATTTTTTTTTGCAACTCAATTCACATGAATTGCACTTTAATGACTAATACCTTTGTCTTCTTAACTATGATGGAAGTTTAAAAAATGATGGTGCAAAGTGAAAAAATTATGGTCAGTGAATTATGTCTTAAAGTTTCAACTTTAAATTTAAAATCTTAATAGGTAGTTTCATAGCTCCTAAGTAAGTTTAAAAACTGCGCCAGACTCTCAGCTTTCATAATCATTAAAAAAAATAGTACTTGATGGGCTACTTTTGCTAAAATCGGATTTCAAAGACAGTGAGGTGGAAAAATTTTAAAATAGCCATTTGGTATCGAAGTTTTTTTTTGGCATTTTATCATTCCTAAAGTTAATTAGATTGTTAACTAACCAAAATTTATTGCAAGAATGCTTAGATGTTAACATTTGGATGTCAACAAATATCCTAATATTATTAAATAAAAGGAATTGTCGGAATTTACTATCTGAGTTAAACTTGATATAGGGTACGGGTGCGGCCAGAGTGCACTCAGATTCAGATTCTGAAAACAAGCGCGAGAAATAAACAGTGTAGTCTAAGCAGGTTGCCTGCTTTTTCTCGTGCTTTGTTTTCTGAGTCTGAATCTGAATCTGAACCAGGAGTGCACTCTGGCCGTATCCTTCGACTACACTGTTTATTTCTCGCGCTTGTTTTCAGAATCTGAATCTGACTCTGAATCTGAGTGCACTCTGGCCGCACCCGTAGGGTACGGCCAGAGTGCTAAGCAGGTTGCCTGCTTTTTCTCGCGCTTTGATTTCTGAGTCCGAATCTGAATCTGAATCAGGAGTGCAATCTGGCCGTACCCTTCGACTACACTGTTTATTTCTCGCGCTTGTTTTCGAAATCTGAATCTGAGTGCACTCTGGCCGCACCCTACGGCCAGAGTGCACTCAGATTCAGATTCAGACTCAGAAAACAAGCGCGAGAAATATACAGTGTAGTTTAAGCAGGTTGCCTGCTGCCACTATGGCCACCCTGCTTTAACTACATTGTTTATTTCTCGCGCTTGTTTTCCGAGTCTGAATCTGAATGCACTCTGGCCGTACCCTTAGTATCTAACTCATGTTTGCCCTGTAAATCTGTAAACTGTTTACAGGTAGGCGACAAAGGAGTGAGGCAGGCGCGGTGTGAGTGCCGGTCTTTCGTATTGTGCCTACATCCGTACAGTCGTTTGCCTGTCTTTGCGCTTTACGATACGCTATGTTCTCTCCTCATTTGTGATCTCTTGACGAACTTTGCTTTCTTTACGGACTTTGAGTGCGATTACGATTTGGTTTTGTGATACGGAATTCGACGACTTTGGCTTTCTCAACGGACTTTTCGAGCACATTACTTTAGTGAGCTATGCCCATGGGCCCTCTTAATCCGTATGTGCTTCATGTCACGCCAGGAAACTATTTTTTACCTCTTTACGTGCCTCTTTATTACAAATTTTAACCGACCTAACAATTTAAGAATTCTCAGTTTAAAGAATTACGAGATTACGGTTGCCAGATTGGCTGGATTGTCCAGCTATTTCACACGTTGTCCAGTGTCCCGGTTTTAGGCAAAATGTCCAGCAAAAATGAAGCTGAAAATTAAAAACCACCAGTATTAGTGGTTTTTCCACCGATTTGGAAACACTGGCTATTGCTATCTATGCCCGGGATTGAATTCAATAATTCGATTGAACTTTGACGAAACTTGTACTAAATTTAAATCTTTTCTAAATAAAGATAAAGGTTCTAAAATGATAAATGCGGCTAAAGGAAATGCTAAATATATGTGGCAGAAAAAGTGATTTCATATTAATTTTGTTTGATTAAGGTTCCTCTGTTTTGTAATAATAAGATTTTTTTATAGTCATACTGATTTTTTTGTCCAGCCAGAAATCCTAATGTCCAGATATTTTATAATATTGTCCAGAAATTTTGATTTATCAATCTGGTAACCCTATACGGGATATAACGAATATTTACTTTAGCGCAGGGTGCGGGTTCGAGTCCCGTCTGCTGCCTGGTCTGGAATTTTTGCAACGAAATACAGAAGCTTAATACGGGCATAAAATAATACCCCTATAAGCTTTTGCCTCGTTTTTAGATTTTATGTTAGACAATAGTCATAAAGTTCAATAAGCTATGCATATTTTCGTTTCTTTGTCATTCTGCAGCCAAATTAATTAAGCTTTAGGTCTTTTGAACTATGCAACGGATTTTTATGCAGTTCTCACCAATAGCTAGTGATTCGGGAGAAAGGTTTATGTGCGAAGCCTGGGCGGGTCGCTAGTTTATTTAATATTTAATCCAAAAAGTATTGTAAATAAATTTGAAACTAAATCTCTTTTGCGATAGTTTATTTAATGTTATTATTAACAGTTTTGTAGTTTGTTTCTACTAGTTTACATGATATAAAAATATATTGAACAACTTATTTTCTAAATTAGCATGTGCCTTACTTATCTAGAGCCTGTTTACCAGATCTTGGAATGTCCTGTTAAGTGCAATTTTAAAGTGACAAGAAGTTAGTCAAGTCATTTGCTTGCAACCAGCAAGTTGCATACTTAATTTTCACATAACTAGCTTTATATTGTCTTATTACTACTAGATGTTACAATAGTAAAGTCAAAGTAATTAATAAATGTATTTTTTTTATTTATGGTACTTACAAGAATACTGCATTCTTACAGATAATTCTTTTAAAATGAAACCTGATTCAAGTATTAGTCAACAATAACTGTGTATATTTTAGTCTGGTAAAAATAACTCCTTTTACAGATATGCCATTCCTTAATACTATTTAAACATTCGTAGTTAGATAAAAATAATGATGACATTAAGTGTGAATATAAATATGCATTGCTTCGTTTATTGCACAGTGTTTAATGAACTGTATATATAGGACATATGTAGTTTCAATAGTAACCAAAAAGTCGCAGATACAGAAATGATTATCATTACATAGATTTGGTTTTTTATTTTGTAAAGCTTCGATGAAACAGAGCTAGTTTCCAAGCTACAAGCCAACCGAGTTCACTAGCAACTTGTAAGCTTGCCCTGTATCATTAGATTGTAGGAAAGCCAATGACAGGGCGAATTTATAAGCTGCTAGAGAACTCGCTGGAGTGTGTCATCGAGGCTTAAAATACAGAGTTACTGATGGTTCTTACAACTCAAAGAATTCATTATTCAACTTATTTTATATTTTTACAACTAGATAATAAAGCACTATAACAAACAGACACATTTTTCATTTGTACCATTAAACTGTGATTGCATCACCATATTGAAAGATTTGTTAATATTAATATTACATCACTAACAGACTTTGTTAAATCATCTCCTTCCCAGAATAGTGCCCCACAAGATTCACACAACAGTGCAGGTTTATTTGCAGTGGATAATTTTACTACATTGTTTATCTCAATGAGGGCACCCTTGCTAGTTTTGCATGATTTATTTGGTTGAATCATATTCACTACATGGTATAAATCATCATCACCTTCAGAATCACTAAGAAATTTGTCATAGTTTGTTTCATCATCATCATAGTCAACATTATTGTAGTGGTAATTTGTACTTTCACTAGACTGATAGTCTACACAGAGTTTATAAACTTCATCAGGTGCTAACTTCATTATGTCTTTTGCATTACATTTTATGCAAAATCTAAATAAATCAATTTGTTTAATGCCTATATTGAATCTATTGAATATTATTTGCAATTGATCTGTGACACTACCTTTACCTACATCTAAAATAGAACTTTGGGGAAATTTTTTATTGGGTGTGCCCTTTAATTTAGTCAATATGACTAATCTATCTTCAGATATTGCCAAGTTTATAACATCACACCATAACATTGTTTCATGCATTACTACAGTATCTATTCCACAATACCTTAGATATGGGAGAAGAAAGGATAACTTTGGTTCTACAATAAATTTGACTTCTTCAGTAGACTTTGTTAAGTTATTGGTCATAAAAGATTGGATTCTTTCATGACCTCTTACCTTCTTAACAGATTTCTTTTTTGGTTCTGTCATCACATCATTACATATTTCATCAAAATTTAGGCCTTGTTCTATGCTCCTGATTTGGAGAAAATTATAAATTTCTATAAGCACAAAAGCATCTAAAGCCGCATAATGTATTTGTGTTTTTCTTAAAGGTCTTAGTTCCCAATTGGAACATTGTTCAGATTTTTCTAAAGGCAAACCAAAACAGGTTTGGACCAAGTAACTGAGGCTGTTACCAGCATTTTCATCACTTGTGGGGAAAGACAGTCCATTATTCAACAGACTTTTCCACAACAAAGACATGTCTAGTAAACCTTCTCCTTTAACTTTAATATTTCCTAGACCTACTACAGACGCTTTCATTTCTTTCAAATCTTGTTCAAGGCCGAATCCTAATTTTATTATTTCTGCATTTTCTAGAAAGGATTTATAAAATGTGTACCAGAAGCTTGAGTAAGATGGCTTATTCAGCACTAAGGTATCAATCAAATAGACCCTATTATTGGTAGCAATTTGTATCAAAGCTACTTGAGATTGCTTTGCTCCAAAACATGGCTTCCATTCACAATCCATACTTACAATATTACATTCATTTAAGTCTGACATCATTAAATCATAAAATTTTTCAGCTGTATCAATCAATATTATGTAGTCATCACTTAATTTTAGTTTATAGTATTCTAATGACGATCCGACTTGCTGTGCGTCCCAATTTTCTTCTTCTGGTGAATCTTCGAGGGATAAATCTCTTAAACTTAATGGAAGATCACTAGTAGGTATATTTAAATAAGAAGCCCATTTGAGTGCTTCATTTTTGTCATAATCAAGCAACATGTCGATGAATTCTTGGGCTGAGTCTGAATTTTGTCTTAATGAGTCTTTTACTAAATCATCCCAAACTGAAGAACTCACATTATGCTCCTGGTACTTTTGATGAATTAAATATCTCAATCCTCCTGTTGTGCGGTTTTTGCTAAGATTCTTGCAGTTTTCAATGGGAATATTGAATTTATTACACAATCTTGCCACTAATTTTCCAAGTGGTTTATGATGTATTTTGTCATATTTCACATGACATATCTTGTTATCTTCAATATAGTTTTGAGCAAATTCTTTAAGATTGAATTTTTTATCAAGTAGTTTATCTAAGAAATTCAATAAAAGTTGAACTTGAGATGGACATTCTGTTAAATACTCATCAATTAAATTTGTTTTGTCTTGAAGAATCAGAGGAAATAGAAGATCTTCAACTGGTATTGCATCATATAACTCCATTGCTATAATAACCTGAGATGCCAATTTGCAGTTGTCTTTTTCAATCATATCTTTGACAATAGGAATAATAGTGTCTCTGATAGTAGCAATTTGGTAAGTTTTAACAACTAAATTGAGAAACAAAGAATTTCTTTGTTGAATAGCAATATGAAAGGCTGGCATCTTCAAAGAATCTTGTGGATGAGAACCGGAAGCTAGTGCCCATTTCTGAAGAGTTTCCACAAGAAAGAATGGTAAGGATTTTGGTTTACAATCTTTAGCATCTTCAGTTTTAATTACGAAAACTAGAGTCACTCTGAACGGATCGACAATAGACTGAAAAAATAGTTGAATCTGATTTTCGAGTGTTGCACTTTTCTTCCATGTTTTCCACGTCACTTTTAACTGTTTGAACCAAACTGCAGTGTTTTCGTCTAAGTCTACATCCAATCCCTTTGCACGTAGAGAATCCTCGATCGAGGGCACTATTTTAATAGATTGATTTTTATCAACAAGGTTGTGTAAATTGTTTGCACTCATTGTAAATTAACATAAAATTCCACCGATAATATCCGCACTAAGGAAAAAATGTTCAACACTGTCATGTGTTAAAACTGTGAATGCAAATCATTACAACTTTTTTGGAGTTACACAAGTTACACAAAGAACCATACACAATTACCTTCATAAATTTTAATTTGCGATCAATTCAGCTCAAAAGTTTATTTTTGAGACATGCCAATTTGACAATTCACTGACTTTGACATTTTGACGTCACAGCTTGACATTCGACATGGCTGTGTTCAAACTCAGAGAATGCAACTTGGTATAGGTGTAAACTTTACACGTACCTTTACACTGTAAAGGTACTTAATTCCATTAGCTGTAGTTGAATTTCGGGGTACTTTGGGGGGTAGAAGGAGGGGGGGGCTACCCCTGACCCTTCCCCCCCCCCCCCCACTAAAAGTTTTTGGCGCAAATGCGTTTTAAAAAAAAATACCTAACCTAAAAATTCATTAAATCTGTTAAATGTAGTGGAATTTCAAGGGGATAAATGTTAGGGAGGAATAACCCCCCTCCAGCCCCTCTCCCCTCACAGCTACGTTTTTTACAGATATGATAATTATAAAAAATGAGAGGAGTTTTAATGGTAAAACTGTACTTCCAGGGTCCAAGAGGTGATACTTGATTTTTTTCGTAGAAAAGGTCTCTATTAACGATTTTTTCTTTCTGGCGCTCCGCCGGCCACAGCCGCTGCACGCTCGCTTCGCTCGCTCGGCTCGCGCGTTATGGCACAACACTAACCTAACCTATGTAGTGTGACCGCTAAGTAAATATCAACAAATACAATACGAAAACAAGAGTACTTTTGCCGTAGGTATAAATTAAATCAGTTCTCGAGTCATTCCTGGATAAAATTTAAGTCAACTCGATACAGTGCCAAGAGAACATTATCGAAAACAAACGCACCAAATTCAAACTTTATAAAATTAAAGTTTGTGCAAAAAAATGACGTTTCTTAGTATTTTGAATATATGTGATTGTTACAATGATTATATATTTCAATTAAAAGTTATTTTTTTATATGTGGAATTGGTTTAATGGTCTAAGGTGGAATACGATGTGTACTTGAATCAGGGGTTTTGCGAATATTCGCATCCACGTTCGCATATGCGGAACATCCGCATCAATTTAGCCATCCGCATCCGCAAAAATCGATGCGGAACTGCTGCGGATGCGTATGTGTAGCAGGTCGCGACAAGAAAGAAAGGGGCAGGCCCGATGAGTGGCGCGTGATATCTTTTTCTGTTAAAGCCCGTCACAGACGTAGCTATAATATATATTAATATGAATCATAGCAAGACATATTACAACATATTTTCAATATAAATTTTCGAGTGACCGCACACGCAGCTATAATATATATTTCTATGACGTCACCAAAATATGTCGACAGATATATTTTGGCATATTAGTGTATATTTTGGTATATTAATATATATTTTGATATATTTTTATGATACGGTATGTTTCATTTTTCACCGAACGCCTGCCAAAATATATATTATAGCCGTGCCCCGCGGTTTCACCCGCGTTTTTCTCGTTTTCGTGGAAATACTGAGATAAAATATGCAAGCAAGCGCGCGTGGATTTCCTTAGCAGAGTTATTTTAGAAATGTATTTATTATACTCTTCAAAGATCTTATACTTACAATCATCAACAAATATATTTCGAAAAAGATTATTACAGGATTTTATGTTAATAAAAAACTCTATGGCCCATAACTCATTAATAGGTACCAACTCTTAACATCTTACACACGTGATAACTTTTAAACGAAATATCCGATTGAGATGAAACAAAAAGTATTTTACTTCTACATAAATACTCTTGATAACATAATGCTTAATTTCGATAAATATTAATATTACGATACATATTTAACGTAGTTTTTTTTCTTCAGACGATGTAATAATTATTTTGAACACAAAATCGGTTATTGTGATTAATCCATGATAGCTAGATATATGTTCTTGCAGACTTTTTTGTAGGTCTTAATGGGATCTACAAACCCGTAGTACATCATTTTGTTCTATTGTCAATAGATTTTGCAGCGCACGCAAAAATAGGTTTTCGATTTTACACCTTGTGTTACAAAATAGCTATTTTATTACGGATCCCTAATTTTGAAAGAAAAAAATATAGCCTATAGCCTTCCTCGATAAATGGAATACCCAACACTGAAAGAATCATTCAAATCGGACCAGTAGTTCCAGAGATTAGCGCGTTCAAACAAACAAACAAACTCTGCAGCTTTTTAATATTAGTATAGAAGTATAGATAGTACAGCTCCCGTCTGTGGTAGTTTGTATAATATAATATCTCGATATATAAATATATATACGTCTGTGACGGGATATATTTTGGCATATTAGTATAATACGGAATGTTCAACTTCTATTTTTCGTTCCTGACAAGGCAACATGCATATTAAATTCAGCATCGGAATCATCCTCTGAGGAACTTTCAATTAAATCTAAAAGCAGTGCTCTTGTCCAATTCATTTCGGTAAGATCGATTATAACGTTATTTCAAAATTAAAACAGCCTGTGCTAGAAAATAAGCTTTAAAACCGTGCGCTTGCAAAAACGACCGCAGACCGAGTGAGGGCAAAATATATATTATAGTATAGCTCCCGTCTGTGGTAGTTAGCTATAATATAATATATATTTCGATATATTAATATATATTATAGCTACGTCTGTGACGGGCTCGCTATTGTTTGTGTTGTGACAAGATTTGACGCGTACGTTTGTTGTTTTGTCGTAAATATTCAATCACAAGTTTATTACGTCTTTCTTGTGCTTTTTGTTAAAAATACTACCCAAGCAAAGTGAAATTTGGACCTATTTTAATCCTGTTGAAAATTACCGGTATAAATCTCAGTGTAAAATATCTATACTAATATTATAAAGCTGCAGAGTTTGTTTGAACGCGCTAATATCTAGAACTACTGGTCCGATTTGAATGATTATTTCAGTGTTGGGTAGTCCATTTATCGAGGAAGGCTATAGGCTATATATTTTGTTTCTCAAAATTAGGGATCCGTAATAAAATTGCTATTTTGTAACACAAGGTGTAAAATCGAAAACCTATTTTTGCGTGCGCTGCAAAATCTATTGACAATAGAACTAAATGATGTACTACAGGTTTGTAGATCCCATTAGGACCTACAAAAAAGTCTGCGAGAACATATATCTAGCTATCATGGTTTAATCACAATAACCGATTTTGTGTTAAAAATAATTATTAAATCGTCTGAAGAAAAAAAAACTACGTTAAATATGTATCGTAATATTAATCTTTATCGAAATCAAGCATTATGTTATCAAGAGTATTTATGTAGAAGTAAAATACTTTTTGTTTCATTTCAATTGGATATTTCGTTTAAAAGTTATCACGTGTGTAAGATGTTAAGAGTAGGTAGTTATGGGTAATAGAGTTTTTTATGAACATAAAATCCTGTAATACTCTTTTTCGAAATATATTTGTTGATGATTGTAGTAAGTATAAGATCTTTGAAGAGTATAATAAATACATTTTTAAAATAACTCTGCTAAGGAAATCCACGCCCGCTTGATGCAAGCAAGACAAGACGCTGGCGGCGCGGCGGCGGGCGATACGAGGAGGCGGAGCTTGCTGGCCGCCTGTCGCTCTTATTTATTGAAAGAAATTAAAAAAAAAAATATTGAAAGTTTGACAGTACACGGCCTAAGGGTGCACTAAGAAAGGAACCCCCCCCCCCCCTCACCCTCCCGAAGGGTTTCAAATAGGGGTTTTAGGTTTTAATGAAAGGTTGTATGAAAAATCTTATTCCTTGGGTAAACTAAGAGACTTAAAACTTGACTCAAATGCAAACCGTAAACAGACTGAGAAAAATCAGATTGGATAAACAATAGGCTACTTAAAATGACTAATTCCACGCGTACGAAGTCGCGGGCAACAGCTAGTATAATATATAATAGTAAAACGTAATCTCGAAGGGTCGAACTACATCAACGCTAAAAAATCATCTAAAATCAATGCACCCCGAAGAGGACCTTGTTTGGGAACGCGAGTCACGAAAAGCAGCTACAGAAAACAAAAAAAAAATGGGTGCGTGTACTTATGTAGGCGCGTGAGAAGTTATCCTTCTTTGGCATCGTTTAAAATTAGTTTTTAATTGCATGCAAATAATTAATTACAATAAATTAATAAAAAGTCTGGAAAAGGACACAGTCAATAAAGTTCAGTTTTAATTTGAAAAAATAAATAAATAATCAAAATATTCAATTAAAATCGCTACTGAATATATTAGAACATATGTGATTTGCACTTGAATGAAACTCAAACACGTATTCCGAATATACAAACTAGAAACATGTGGATAAATATTATAAATATGAATACCTATAACTGTTACTTTATTACAAAAAATAAAGATGTGGTTTTTGGTTCTACTACACCAATGATCAAGAGATGGCGCTGTAGTCTCCTGAATCGCGCTTTGGTTCCGTTGTTCCAGATTAATAAATACTTTTGATATTATAAATATGAATACCTATAACTGTTACTTTATTACAAAAAATAAAGATGTGGTTTTTGGTTCTACTACACCAATGGTCAAGAGATGGCGCTGTAGTCTCCTGAATCGCGCTTTAGTTCCGTTGTTCCAGATTAATAAATACTTTTGATAGGCCTTCACAATGCAGTCGTTAGCACCCACTAAATAGAGATTCTATTTCTATTTTGTTGGTAGATTTTCTTAATAGCAGCATTTTACCTGAAATAAAATGCATATTAAAATACTTACCTCACTGAAAGCTTTATATTGAGATAGCACTTCCGTTTCCCGTCGAATTACCATCAGTTTCCGTACTTTTATTCACCTTGTATCCGGTCCAGTGGCGACACCTGGCAGAAGCGCGGCCATTTTTGTTTTCCTATGTTTTGACAGCGCCATATTAACTCATTGGCTCAATTATTTCACCAGGCAGAATTTAAAGTGAAAGCTTTCAGTGAGGTAAGTATTTTAATATGCATTTTATTTCAGGTAAAATGCTGCTATTAAACTACTTGACCGTCACTGAAAGCTTTATATTGAGACCTGTTTGTTATCGCCTGGTGATCGCCACGTACATAGATATATACGCCAATGTGAC